CCCCCCGCTCCTCCCCCCGCCCCTTTCCCTCGATACTCTTTCTCCCCCTTCCCGCCTTCCTCCCTCGGCGCTGCCTCTTCCTTCCAGGGGCGAGGTCCTACCGGCTGAGAGGATTGGATTGAACGCCTGAATGTGGACATGATATAAACAGAGGCCATAGACTGTCCTTCGTGACGTGTTTGTGGAGAGGTGTAGAAAATGGCGATTGATCTATTTTTTCTGCATCTTTGCATAAAACACGTCCAGATTCGGGCGCTTAATGCTATTCTCTTTGCTAGTGGGACCTCGTCCGGCGTCTTAGGCCAGCCTCCAATGGTCCTGTGTTCATGCTACGTAGGGAAAGCACGAACCTGCGAAACATATTCTCAGCACCGCCTTGCTCCCTCCTCTCTCCCCCCTTCCGCCCCTCGCCCCCGCCCTTCCCCTCCCTCTCTTGGCGCGCCTAAGGCATCGCTTGATCCCCCGTGACGCTCCTCCTCTTTCCTTTCGGAACTGGCGCCGCGCATGTTCAACCCCCTCTCCCTGTCCCCCCTCCCCGCCTCCCCCCCTCCTCCTCCTTTTCCCCGGCCAACACTTGTCATCCCTCTCCCATCCTTTGCATGCAAAAACACCTCTCGACTCCCTTTGACATTGTCCCGTCTTCCTCCCTGGGCGTCCCTCTCCCCCTCCCCCTCCCCCTCCCTCTCCCCTTCTGCTTTTGCGCAAACGGTGACACGCCCATGGATACTTCCCCCTCCATCTCGCAATGCGTGCAAAACATCTTGCGACCCCTCTCCACACACTTTCTCGTCCCACGTTGGCCTTTTTCGTTTTTTTTTGGGTAGAACACAACGTTGGGAAACCTTTGACACCTTCCACTGTTGCTTGTGTGCAGAGGTATACGTTTATTTGTGTGTGTGTGTGTGTGTGTGTGTGTGTGTGTGTGTGTGTGTGTGTGTGTGTGTGTGTGTGTGCGCGTGCAGAGTAGCTTTTGTGTATGTCTGTGTGCGCTTCTTTCCCCATGCCCCACATGCAGAGCATATTGTGTGCCTATGTGTTCCCGCGAGTGACCCTGTGGGCTATGAAGATCCAGAGTGTGTGTGTATGTGCGCGTGCTTGTGTGTGGGTGCGCGCCACCGGGGGATATCTCGCGCAATACTCCTTTGTCCATGTTCCTGTGCGCGCGCGCGTTTGTGTGCGTCCGCGTGTCTGTGCGCGCGCGCGTTGCGTGCGTCGTCCAAGAATTGTCCACACGCGCACGTGTCTGTGCGCGCCCGCGCGTTTGCTATTGTGCGATGAACGATCGTGTGGGCACTGTGTTTGTGTTTGTCTTTTTATACGTGTCAAACAACAAACACACACACACACACACACACACACACACACACACACACACACACACACA